GCTTCAGTAAATATATATTTAATAGTTTTATATAGCATAGCTAAGTTTTTCACGAATAGTTCGAAGGGTATCGCTGAATAAACAATGCTGCTTGGTGCGGAGGGTAGTGCAGCTATTGTCTCAATGATTTTAAACATCTTCATTTCGATGGCTGGACAAAATTTAGCCATTATCGGAATAATTGACTATTACTTTACCTACCTCTTTCATTCATCAATTATTCCCCTTTTTGCAGCCAAATAGCAATAAGTCCTTCAAATCCCCAGCTTCCACTCTCTCTCGACGTTATTCTTCAAGCCGGGTTAATCATCCCGGTACAGCCAGCAGCCAGCCAACGTCATCTAGCCAAAGTACCACGACATCCAGCCATCTGTCTTCTGTTTCTCCTCAACCCACTCCGTTATCTGTTTCCATCCATTGCCACTCTATCCCTTCCAACGTTTCCTCTGCTACCTCTACTAATACCTCATCCTTCTCCTTGGCTGAATCTGTCTCCCATGCGATTCAACGGCTACCAAAACTTCGCCAGTCTCCAGGCCCGAAACTAATTCCAGTTACTTCTAATTCTGTTTCTACTACTGCTAGTGATATGCATAGCCGCTTACCATTGAATCAACGTGCCTCAATTACGACAGACCAGACCATTTCCGTATCCATTCTTCCCGTAGGACAGCAGGAGCTTGCTGATAGCCAGAGTGCTTCTGACCAGACGCACTCGTCATCATCTCCCAATATGTCTGTCTTGCCTACGAATTGCGAAGCAGTACTTCCTCGTTACCCACAAGTCCCTAGTAGATTGCTTGAAGGTGCCGACTCCAACTCGGTCCATCAACAGCACCAATGCCATTCGCTTCTCAGTCCCCGTTGCCACCCACAGAGTTCACCACATTCGGGTTCGGTTCATAACACAAACTCAGCCTCGACGTCCCAGACGGGGCAACCGATTCTGAGGGACGCCCGGATAGAACCTTGCCAAACAACCTTTACGCATCCCAGTGTGAATCAGCGCACTACCAGCTCCCATGGTAGACTTTTTCCCCTAATTTTATCGCAATTTTCCAATGTCACTTGCTTCACCTATCCTGATTTTTATACTGAGCTTGTTTCAACTATCCT